GGAATGAGCGACAAAACGCATGATGGTGTATGTTTGTCGTGCTATTATTTATTTGGTGATTTCCACAAAATGTCTGCATGATGTTGTATTGGCCATGAACTATTTGTTGTATTGAACTTTAATTATTTGTTTGAGTTGTAATAATAATTGAATTATTTTTTTATCGATTTATTTTGTGTGTGTTTGATCTTCTTTGTTTCATATTGAATGCAAAATGTTGTTTGTGTTGGGCACGCGCTCTATTTTAAGCACCTGCTGAAGCGGCACTCTCACACGCTATAATTTTTGGATGCCTGGTGAAACAACTGCCTAGTTTGACGCGCAAAAGGTTGTTTCGGTGCTGTTAAAAACTTTTAGAGCTACGCCTGCTCGCGTCTGTTGGAGATGCTCTGAGGCCTTGTACAATACTAGATGCTTAGTGGGGTGTTTAGAAAAATAAATCTGATTTTTTAAAGCACCAGCGTCTATTTCTAAAAAAAGTTCGATTTATTTTTCTGAACATCTTTCCTAATCATCTTGCGTTGTACAAGGATCGCCAAGCCCCGCCGCCTTGCGCATCGGATCACTGCCAACCGCCACCGAGATCCTCCGCTCGCAGGTCCCAGGTTGCCATGAGAAAGGTCCTCGACACCCCGTGCGGCGGATTATTCCTCCGGCGGCGGCGCGGGGAGTGGAAGGGTTTGGGGCGGCGGCGCGTTAGGTTTTGAGGGGGAAACCCCGAGTCACCTTGGGCAGGGACGACGCGAGGGACGATTCGTTTTTGCAGTGTACGATTCACCTCCCCATGCTACTAGGGGATGAAGAGATTAAATTTGGCATCTGGATCTGGGGGTGGAGAAGCCCGCTTCGCCATGCGACTACGGGGATTGGCCCAGGATTGTGAAATCCTCGAGATGCCAGAAGCTCAGTAACCACCACCGCCGGGGAAGAACCAGTGGGCAGTGGCTGATGTCGAACTCCACCCACGGGTAATCAAGCTGGTACGTAGGATTTTCTTCCATTGCTCCCAAGAAAAAGTTGATTCAGTTGACGCTCCTAATTTCTGATGTTACATTTAGCTCTCTCTATATAATATATTGTCCAGTTTATCAGGAAGAACTATGTAGTAGTAGCATTTTTTCTCCTGATACTTTCACTTGGAATAAACTTGCAACTTGTATGTCTTCCGATCAAACAAAGTCGTCTTCCAAATGAAGTCCAGTACTAGAAGGAAATTGTGAATTCACTGTTTTTCTTTTCTTTCTTCTTTTCTCTCTGTAATCTGCTTCTGCAGCCGATGTATAGTTTTCCCTCTTATGAATGAAATGGCAGAGCACCTGCTAGTTAGAGTTAAAAAGTGGACAGAGGAACACCAATTTCCTTTTCTCAAATGGGCGTAGCCCATTTTGCAGTACTTGGCATAAGCATAGCAGAAACAATCAAGTCCATTCCTCAAACAAAGAAACAACAAAGTCTTAACATGTGTAAATGAAAAGGAGAATTCAAACCCACCAGGAAATTAAACCCGCTGTCTATGCCTGATCTTCATCGATCATAGGCTGGCCGTTGGCGGATCACACTATCGGACTATCCTATTACAAGCCAAACAGTAGCAACAAACAGTTTAAGAAGTTCCACAGAAGTAGTGCAGCTCAACTGATCACTAATCACATCAACGCAATCATTCAAGGCTGGGCAGTCTCATCCTCTGCCTGAGCTTATCTTCAGAAGCACCACACTAGGCACAAGAATTATCGCCGGACAGAGCACTTCTCTGCTGCTGAAATCGATGTCGTTTACTTTTGCGTTCGCCATCGAGCTTAAAAAAATATATAAGGAAGTCGTTTTAGGCAGTATCATAAATTGTAATGGTGCATTATCGAATACCAAAGGAATTGCAGCAGGCATGTGCCTGTAAGAGCATGCGTATAGTACCTGTTGGTCTGCCTTCCTGCAATCCGATGTTTCGGCGTCATGGCACTATATAAAAGAGAGATAGACAAGGTAAATGGAAGGGAGAGTGTGGATTAGGAAATTCTGAAACTGCAGCAGGGAATAATAGATGGAGGGGTAGTGCAAGTGCAGCATTCGCGCGTGGCGTGGTAGAGCACCTGATCTTGGTTCCTCTGCTCAGGACTCTCCGGCTCTTCTCCGACGCGGTTGTCAAAGTCGTAGTTGAACTGGAATGAAAAGGACGGGACAGACTATAACACTTGAAATAAAAGATACTCCCTCCGTCCAATAATATGCTATGGGACGGAGGGAGCAGCTAGGGAGCAAAGCTAGTAGTACCTCTGGTTCTGTCTGTCGGGAGGTCACTTCATCGTCGTCCTCGTCTTCGACGATTACCTGAGCAGACGTACCAACAGGTCAGCAGGAAGGAAGAATGTCGATTCACAAACTGCAGCAGGGACCAATAGATGGAGGGGTAGTGCAAGTGCAACACGCTCTGTGGCGTGCTAGACTGGTAGGGTGAACCGTCCGGTCGAGCACCTAATCTTGGTTCCTCTGCTCGGAATCCGGCTCTTCTCTGACACAGTTGTCATCGTCGTCGTGTAACTGGAATGAAAAGAACCGGGACCTCAAAAAGAGTAAAGCAAGTAGTACCTCTATTTCTGCATATTCGGGTTGACCTCCTTGGCTCACTGTTTCTTTCATCATCTAAAAAAGCCATAACTAGTAGCTGTCAGGGAATTGAAAAAGTTAAAAAATAAACACCAGATAGATACAGAGGCATGTAGTAATAGTGTAATACCATATATTGACCACGCCTTTCGAGACGGAGTGTGGGACGGTTCGGATGGGTGTCAATTGTTTGCCTCACCGCTGCCTCCATCTTCTCCACATCGGGTACACGGGCATCACCGCAATCCATATGTGCGACAACCTCGCGAAGCGAAGGGAGGTTCCCCAGGGTACCAATAAAGTTAAAGTCAATGACGGCATCCCTCAAGCGCCCCTGTGTGCCGAACGTAATGGATTCAAGGTTGTGCATACTTCCCGGCAGAAACTAGAAAGGTGCATCTATCTCGCAGCTCCTCAACTTGGGGAACGCACCATCAGGGAACTCCGTGCCCTCCGGTATCCTGATGTACTTCAATTTAAGAAGCTCTGGCAACCTCCCAAGGTTGACCACATCCCCCTCATTCATAGAATACACATACATTTTTAGTTTGGAGAGGTTTGGAAGCAGCGAGGAATTAATCCATGCCGGTAGTCTATTGAACTCGATCGATATGTACAACTCACGGAGTTGCCGAGGGGGCTTGTACCCTTCCCAGTTATCTGCCTCGGATTTCGACCACCCACACAGGCCCTTAAGTCGTAAGATTTGGATTTTCTCAAGTTTGCATACAGAATCCACCAAAGTTTTCTTGGAACAATCATTCAGAGGTCCCCTTAAATGACAGTCCAGCACCCTCAGCTCTGTCAGCTTACCGAGTTCTTCAACCAGGGTAGAGAATTCACCACTAATTTTCAATGATAACTCCTCCAGGGATGTCAGGTTCCCTATCCAATTCGGCACTGTTATACGAACACATGTCCACTTAGTGGTCTCGTCAACGCTCAGGCGCTTAAGTTTCCTTAGCAAACTAGTACTCTGTGGCAATTCTTTTATCTTGCACTTCCTCAAGTCTAGTGTCTGCAGAAACTTTAGATCTCCTATATCTTTTGGGAGCTCACTAATATTTGTGCTCTCCAGACTCAAGTATCTCAACTGATGTAACCTTCCAATATGCTCAAGATCACAATTTTCTATAGATATGCAGTTTTTCAAATCTAGAACACGTAACACTTCAAAGCATGAAAGTGGTGGCATCATACTTCTAGGACACTTGTTGGCATAACATGACCTCAATTTTGGCATGCTCGTGTTGCCGAAATGGTTGTACTGCTCTTCACCTCTTGTTTGGATTGCTAACCTATGAGCATTGCCTTTTGAAGATGAGTAGTTCCCATTACTATCTAGTATGGTGATAAAATTTTGTTCCTTTGATAACAAACAAATTATATCAAGCACCATATCATGAACACAACAAGCATATATGCCCTTTTTTTTCCCTCGAGGAAACGTGCCCGTCCCTTCTTTGTGCTCTACAGGCAGAACCATGCTTCTATTTACGAGATCATTAAAGTATCTCTCTCCAATCTCAAAGAAACCAAAGCCTGGCTCCTCACTGACAAAGCCTTCGGCTACCCACATCCATATTAATGTTTCTTTCATGATCAAAGTATCTTCTGGATATATGCTCAGATGCAACAGACAAGGCCTTAGATGATAAGGTAGATCCTCATAGCTAAACAATAATATCCTTCTCATGTTATCGATATCTGTATTATCTCCAAATGCAGAACTAATAGAGGTGTATACCTTAGACCAATCCTCCATTGGTTTATGATGCAACAAACTAGCTATTGCAATGATAGCCAGCGGCACACCACCACATTTTTGTAGAATTTTGTTAGATACCTCAGAAGGTTGACCATAAGGACATTTGTGGTTCCTCCCGTCGCTTGGCGCTTCTTTTCGGCCTCCTTGGCCTCGTGGTGGTGTTCGCAGCGGGGCGGCGTGGATGTGTCCAGGACCGTGGTGGCGCGTGCTTGCGGGTGGCTTGATGGTTGGATGGCCCCGGTTCGAGTGGGTAGCGGTGCTTGGGGATGTGGGAGAAATCTTTGCCGGTTCTTCCGGCTCCGACGCGGTGACACCTGAGGGTGCCATCATTCCTTCTTGAAGGGCGTCGGCGCTACCCATCACCCGCTCCCCTCCGTATGCCGGGGGAAACCCTAGGACTCGTCCGGGCAGCAGCGTCGTTGGCGTCGCATTCCTTCTTGGAGGTGCTGCTTGGTATGCGGCGGGCCGGTGCCATGGCGTGTGGTGGGACGAAGGTGGAGGGCGCAGCGGTGGCGGATCATTTGTGCTTGCCGAGCTGCCGTTGTTGGCTTTTATTTCTTCTTTTTCCCTTTTGGGCTTGTTGTGCCATTCGCCCCGGCAGTTACCCTGTGATCGTGTGTCTGGTGCTTTATAATATAAAGCGGAGGGAAACCCTTTTTCGGTAAGGACATTTGTCTTTACCACCAAATAATCTTGTATAGAATAGTTCTTCAGACAAATCAGGAGAAAGCGGTTCTAGCTTGTAGACATTGCCGGTATTTGCAGCAACTTCAAGAATGCGAGTAGTTGTGATTACTCGACTTCCACGATTGTTATCCAACAAAGCACATTTGATTATTCCCCATGCTTTTAAATCCCATATGTCATCGATAATAATAAAGTACCTATCACATGACAAAGCAAGAGCCATGCATTAGTTAGTATATAACTGTGTAGAATGTCTATTAGAAGAACAAAGATGCATGCCAACCACTTGGATAAGGAAAACACACGTACATGTCATCATTCAATCTACAAAAAAGGTGCAATAAAGAAGGAATGAAAGCCATTCGATAAATGCATGCATGAATCCGACTGAGATCATTTATATTAACTACAGTTCTCATTAATCATGTTCTCAAACTAAGTATAGTTTTGCATGTGAAGCTTGCATATTATATTTATTTCTGAATTCCATATATGAGAATGTCTGGTAGCTGTTGACGATCCAAATGATAGCAAGAAGTAGGAGAACATGATAAAATCTACTTTGTTTTCTAAAAGTACATCAGGACTGAATAGGCTGTCCAAATTGAAATTTAAAACATCTCAAAGGAAATTAACCACAGGTTTCTAACTTGTTGCTTCATTAGATTCAATGTTATTATGAGTTATGATGCTGAGATGCACTAGCTGACTGATATAAAATTCAAAATATATAGTACTACTAGCAAAATTGACTACTAGACTCTGGGAGTAGTAGATATGCAATTGTCAGTTCCATGCAGATGGCATCCATCATAACGGTAGCGCCACATTGTGTCAATACATCTAGTGCCTTAAGTCTTACAGATCGTTTATTTACCAGATTATAGGTACACTGAGATAATTGTGTCATTGTTTTATAACTATATAAAGTGAGGTGGATGGTCCGAACCTCTTATCTTGAAGTAGATCTCGGAGTTTGTTGATGACTTGTCTTTCATCTAATGTGGCTATATCACTCATAGAGTTACCCAGTTCCAGTTCCAGGAGTATGTCCTTGAGAACTTTGCTCACATTAGGGTTTCGACCCACCGGAACAAAAGCCTTGCAATTAAATTGTGTTTGAAGACTATCATACACTGCCTTGGCAAGAGTTGTCTTACCGAGTCCTCCGGGTCCAACAATAGAGACTATCTGGAGCGGCTGATTTGACGTATCTCCTTCATCATGTGTAAGCCTCTCGGTTAGCTGGTCCCTTGCGTCTTCAATGCCAACGAGATCTTTCTGATCCTTGTATAAAGCCAATATACGAGGATCAATGGTATTGTTTATGCTAGCTGCATTGGCAACAGCATCGTCGACTTTGCATCTGTCACGCAGGTCAGCCACCTCTTGGGCACGGTCCTTGATGTCCTTGATTGCATTGGCAATCAGATGGCGAGTCTTGCCTTTGGTGAACAAGCTGGTGATCTTCTCCATTAGCCCTTTGAGCTTGCTCGAGTTGACTGTAGGATTAGATCCCTCGATAGACACCAGGAACTTGTCAACGACATCCTCTGCGTCGTACGACAGCTCCCTGATTTCATCTGCCCAGATCTTGACTTGCTGGTCGAGCTGGTCCCTTGGCACCTTGGCCACCTTTGTAAGAGCAGCGTGCATGCTCTTCATCTCTCTCTCAAGGGACTCGACATCTTTCTTCACGCCCTTCTGTAGGCGGTACTCCCCAACGAGCAGCTCACCCAGCTTGGGAAGTAGGCTTTCCATGGCACCAGTCACCACGTCCATGGCAGAGATGATGTTCGCTGTCAATTAATGTATGGATCTTTTATAAAGAAAACCTGTAACACCGACTGGAAGTTAGAATACAGGAATCTGTTGTAGGAAAACCAAAGGAAATGGTTCGCCATCGCTGGTTTTACAGGAAATCTACAGGTGAAAAAAAATGCGTCCACTCCAATTTCATTCCCCATCTTGCATCAAGCGGAAGCAAATCGGTGGCTTTGATGGTATTACCTCCGTCCCAAATTAGTTGTGTTTAAATACAAAGGTATCTAACACTAAAACATGTCTAGTATCTAGATACATCAACAAATGTAAAACAAATAATTCGGGATGAAGGCAGTACTTACTTAATACAAGCAGCATAGCCGAGTAAGACAACCTTGCCGTCAGCTCCAACACCAAGGAGCTCTTTGGAAAGATCCCCAAGAAGCTAGCACGTCGGCAGCACCGGTAGGCTCTTCAGCGACTGCCTCCAAATTTCGCCCTTGCCGTGCTCGCTGCCGGCATGCTTGCTGAGACGAGACGAGCAAGCGAGGGATGTACGGCCTACTCAAGCGCCATGGTTGGTGGAGGTGGCCTTTGGTGGAGCAGGAGCAATGATGGTGAGCTTGAGGTTCCCCAGCTCGTTTCTGAGCAGAGCGAGGAGCCAGCAAAGGCTTTCCTAGATCTGCCTCCTTGGATGAATGATGAGGTTGCAGTGTGGGACGGTGCATGCATTATTGCTAGGAAGCTGCGGCCCTGAAGCAACTAGGTCCCGCTACCGCAGGCAACTAACTCCTGCCGATAATGCGAGGTACTTCGTCTTCTCAGCCACATCTTTTTCCCTTGATGTTTTTCCTTTTACATTAGCTCTTTAGTTTCACCGCACTATAACCACGCGTACTGTCTTTTGTACATTATTGCTCACCTTATCATAGCAAGCACGCCAGCAGCGAGCACGAAACCTGCTTCTGGAGGTGGCCTCTGAAGTGCCTCTGATGGGGATGAGGGGGAAAAAAATCTTATACGACTCGTGTCGTATGCTCTCAATGGTTGGACCCTCTTCAACAGTTGATGATAGGTGGTGAAACAAATCTCACAGCAATCGCGCAAGCTATCTCCTAATCCCATATACTTAAATAATTGATCCTCACTGCCTTGAATCCTTTCAACACGCAAGCCTTTCATCTCATCAAGTATGCCCGAGAAGTCCATCGCTGCACGCAGCGGCAGCTGCACGCAGCGCACCCACGGCTGGGGAAGAGTCGCGATTAGGACTCGCTGGAAGTGCTACTTTGAGTATAGAGCACCGCCGACGTGCGTAATGGTTCGTATTCGTTGTATTAGTTGTACTATGCACTGACAACCGGACTGACCCATCTGACGCAAGCACTGCACATGTACAGACGTGAGGACACAATATTACCGTTGCACTAAACATTGCACCCACCTGCATGTATTTAAGGCCCATGCACCAGCCAGCCGTGGACAGAACAGATCGTTTTGCACGTTTTGCACTGACAAAAAAGGTTCCACCAATACAAAAGAGACGCAACCACACAGCGAGCCAGCACATCAAACATTTTTGAAAAACGCATGAGGCACGTCAAAGCAGGAAATATAGGAACAACAGCACTATGTCAATTTTACAGTTCAATAAAGTTGTGACATCCCTTATTGGGAAATGAAAATCACACGCCAAGGCTAAGACTAATAGCATGAATTAAAATTGCAGTACCATCCAGCCTGATTCAGTCTATATTCTCTCCCCCACTCTACATTCAGACTGCTGCACGAAATTCACTAAACTTCTGCAAATGGATTCCACCGAAGTATAGCTTTCCCTTTGCAATGTTTGAACACTAAGAAAAGTCACCATCCAACAGATAATCACCGAACAGAATAACATTGGCCAGAAAGAACTTAATCACGCAATTACGGTGCTTCTTATTACTAGCAATTCAAGCTCTTTTTGTCACTGAAAATTAACCAGGGACATACTACAGCAGTGGCACGGGTATTTTTTTGCTGACCAACCACTGGTTAGGGCTTAAGCAAAACATCTACGAACTTGTTGGGAAGGGTTGATTCAGATTTCTGTTGTTTCCTCCAGTCTTTATCCAGAGCCCTACCCAAATTCACAAGTCTAATGAATATTTCAGTACTTGCTCGCACGACTGAGAACAGGAAAATGCACAATTGGCGTAAACGGCAGAAAATCAGTAGCTAGCTGCGCTTCCAGCCAACGCGGATGGTGGTGTTCCCCGAACCCGGCCCGTTTTGGGTTAAGGACTGCACGACCGAGCTCGAGACGACGGCCGGCGTATCGTCGCAGTCTCGCGCCGACGGCAGGACCACGCCCCCAGAACTGAATGTCGTGCAGGAACCCGAAGAGCCACTGCGGCGGCTGGACTCGGCGGATGTGCGCGAGAAGACGGCAGGAGTCCCGCACCCGGGGTTTGCGGACGCCACATCTCCGCCACCAGCACTGAAGCTCTTGCAGGAAGCCCCGGAGGACTGGACATCAGCAAGCCCACCCCTCGATGAAACCAGAATGGTTGTGGTCATAATCACTTTGTTACTACCACAAAACCATGAAATTGAGTAGCCAAATGATCTGGGAACATGCTATAACTGAAGTTTGGAACTTGCCGAGTAGCTAGTGCTCAATGCCGCAAGAATATCCATGGTAATTTGAACACTTTGGGTCAGGTAAATGCTTGCAAACATGAATAACCATGGCTTGGAAATAACAGATGCTCATTTCTTATGCTTTTTAACAGAGCAGTCAGATAGTCTATAGACTAAAACTGTAACAGTTAAAAAAACTACATATATTATATTTTCCTTGCCCATTGGTTACCATTTCTTTGCTTAATCTTGAGGTCCCAAAAAGAAAGACTACTGCATAGCTTAAGCAGTACAACTTTCAGAGGTAACATATCATTGTTGTCAACAATATTTATTGATTGAAATGCATGAGACTGGTAACAAACATCTGTCGCAACATGCAAGCTCAAAACTCTGAATTCTCGGGACACCACGGGAACAACCATGTTATGATGTCTGTAAACACATCAGCAGTGAAGGAATTCACCTCTAACCTAGTAACAGAATATGCAACATGCAACCTGCAAGTACATCTGGCCTCTTCTGAGTCTGCTCCTTCCTAGCTTCCTTCCATCAATTTTCACAAATAAACATGCAACCAAGTCATGATGTGGAATTAGATCAAGTAAGTTGATTGTTCAAAAACAAAAAAAGTTTGAGTAGGTTGCATGCATGCTGACCTTGTTAATAGGTAGCAGGGGCAACACCGGTGTGCTCTGCTTTGAGTGGAACAGCAATGACGAGGAAGCCGACGGCCATGGCGTGCTTCGGCATGTCCATGGAACGGCGGGACATTTTTTGCACACCAGTGTAGCCGCGGGCTCGCAGAGAGGAGGCCTCCCATCCACAAGGAGGCATGTGCTCAACGAACACATCAGCGAGGCTGTCGTCCTTCTTGCGGAGCTCGTCTTGTTCGGATGCTGTTGGCGCTCCCTGCTCTGTCATCTCTGGTGCACTGAAATGATACCACAGTTCAACTGGTGTGAGTATGTTCTTATGATCTTATCTACTTGACGCCGTTCGTAAACTGAAGAAAGATACGTTCTTCAGGTCGAACTACACTCTTCGTCGGTTCCTCTGCATACTTACGAATTGACTGATATAAGGCACTCATCCTAGAGATGGACACGGCGCTCTGTCTGGCGGTGCATTCCCAAAGCGAACCTGAATTTTGAGAGCAAGAACAGTCTATGTAAGTATCAACAGGACGAAACACAGCTCCAAATTGATGTCGGACTAGCAGAACTTCTTATTTATCCCTATCATACAGCACATGAACGAGCAATTCTATTTTTTGGTTCTACTGCAATCGTATGTAGCAGCGCGGGGCAACAGAGCAGCATTCAAAAAACAGTGACAGACCAACACAGGATAATCTTCAGGCCTTACCTTTTAGTCCAGCCCGGCGCCTCCGGATTTACATGGTCAGTGGACTGCGCGGAACGTGTCGGAGAAGCCTCCCGCCGCCGTCTACCGTCGCCCAGTGGCCAGCCCGTGCCTGCGCCGCCAACATGCTGTCCGCATCCAGAACCAGCATTCGAGTCAGCAGGCTCAGCACTTGTGTCATCACGCCACGGGAGTACCACCAAAGGAACCGGATCTGGATGCTCCAAGCTGTCCGCTAACTCGTCCCGGAGGGGAAACCTGCAACTGCAAGTCATGGACATCGTGAGGCGGCAGATCCAGGTTCAGCCGTCTGTTCAGTCTGGGCGGGGAGTGGGGATTGGTGGTGCCGTGGTGGGCGTGAAAATTGTAGGAGTAGATCTACAATGGGGGCATGGTTGACTCACCGGTCGACTGCGTGCAGCAAGAACTCAAGCTCAACATCTTCCATCGCCGGCTAGCCGGAACCGTCTCGATGAACTTTGTGTTTAGCGATGGCTCAGATTGACAGGAACGTTCTGTGCCAAAAAAGTAAACGTTCTGGTCCACGGGTCAGGAAACCCACCGTTCTCGGCCCGTCCACCCAGTACGTTCTGGTCCCACCAACTGCTACTGTTTGCTACGTATACGCGTCATATCCTTCTTTTCCGCCGCATCGGTGGAAACGAGCCAGCGTGATTTACGTGAATCCCCAGGCTGGAATAGACGCCAGTGATTTCGGGTGCAGCTGCGCCCGAGCACCGAAACGTTGTGTCCCCATGCAAACCATAATTTATATTTACTATTAAAGGGGTGTTGGTAGCGTTGCCTGCACCCCCCCTCGCCTTTTTTCTGTCCCACAAATCTATTTAACCGGGTTTTAGCCAACCAATCTATTTAAATTGGTTTTTATCTGTCAAATCATATCAATCTTTGGTACACTTGATAACGTCTTTATGGGAAGGAATTAATCATCACGATCAATCTTTAATCAATCTCTAAAGACCAAATCTACAAAAATCAGGCATTCTAAAGAAAAGATTATCATTTTA